ATCCATTTTATTTTGTACGGTATTCACTTATTATTTTGCATTTATTGTTTGTTAATGTCCATGAATTGTGAATGCTGTGTTTTTTTTATGTTCCAATTTGACTTTGATAATTCATAAATTTATTTTTCGTAGATAAATGAAATTGGATGCTGGTTTGTCTACTAACTATGAAATGTCCCGTATGTGAACAGCAAGTCATCTGCCTTTCAACAGAAATGGATTCAAATTTTTCACTAATGCTGGTGGGCTTGGGAAGGTTGACATCAAAGATATCTTAGAGAGGGCTGCAGACATATACAATCAATTTACCCCAGAAAGTTTGAAGAATTCAGAGCAAAAAGCTTTATTAACTTTTAAGAAAGTGGATTACATGATTGCTTATACATCTGATCTGGTAAAAGCGGTTCGCAAGGCTGCTGGAAACATAGGCATGACTTCACTTAAGTATTTATACAATAGTCAATATGTTTGGGGATAAAATTAATGCATTGTTCCCTAAATGAAGAGGAAGAATAATGCAACTCTAATTAGAGACCTGTTTTTATTATTCAAGTTTTTTCTGTAAAATTTATAGTTTTTCCTTTTGTTTTTGATTTCCTGATCTTGTTTGCTAAAGTTTATTGCACTGTTTATACACAGAGAAACCATTGGATGGTTTTCATATAGTTGTTGATGCTGGCAATGGAGCAGGAGGTTTTTTTGCAGTAAGTTCTATTTAATCTCCTTAATTTTTTTGTCTGTTAATAACTTTCTAGTATTATGAATTTCACTTAAAATATCTATATAAATTATTGTGAACATTGTACTCTTCTAAAGTGAGAAATGTTCTCTAAAGGGTAAACTAAAGGGCAAATCTATAACCGCTGATTAAAAAAAAATCAATTGTTAAGATTATGGTAAAATACATTCACATGTGTAACAAACTGTGATTTTCTATCCAATGGGTATATCCACAATTACACTTGAAAAACTTCTATCAAGCTTTTTCTTTTTTGACAAACTTCTTTGCTTAATAAGTACATATAATCGTGTCTTAATAAGTCTTCTATGAGCTGTTCTTTTTTATATGATTTACCATGGGCCAATATGCATGAATAATATAATTTAGTTTTCTTTTGGTTTCTGGCTCATCTCATGTGAAATCATAAAAATTATTTTTCCCTAATTACAAAAATTATTGCATTAACTATGTACGGGTATAAAGATGGGTAATACCCAAATTTTTAAAGTGGGTACGAGAACAAAGATGAGTATGTACACGTATTGTTTTAAATTATTAAAATATCTATAATTTATTATGTAATCTGAAAAACTTATATTAACTTTTCTTTTGTCCTTAATTTTGTAACTTATTTCTAAGATAAATATTTGATCATTTTTATTATTTTCTATACTTATTTGACCTCATCTAATTGTTATTGGTAGATACTCTTATTTGATATTTATATAATTATATTTCTTTCTTGATATTTGATATTAGATAAAAAAATATGTATCCTTTTAACATTAAATACTTGAAGATGAGACAAAAACTTCATACTTATTGGATATGGACATGAGATAGTTAAACCCACATTTGTCCCATTCTGTTACCATCCCTAGTTACAAACATATGCACACTGTCTGAAACTGCTTTAGAAGTATAGCAGGTAATTTACAGTGAAAATAGATCTATTTTTACAACTTTGATATTTTTACTGAGTTCTGGAAGACTGAAACTGACGTACATGGTATTTTTATAGGATCTTTAAAATAAAATCAGCTGAGAAAATTGTTGATGATGACCTTTTTATAATTTTATATTATGCATTTGGTAAGATAATAATTTTTCTAGATAGAATCTTAGTAGTTTTTCTGAAATTTCTAATTTCTTTACACCGGGGAAGACTAGTTCATAAATTAATTAATGGATTAGATTATTGTGTATAATTTGAAATCATTCAAAATATCAGAATGTTTTTATCTGGTTAAGGTTTTTGGCTCTTGCATCAAACTTGATATTTGATATTACTTTTCGGTGAATAGGAAAAGGTTTTGAAACCTCTGGGGGCAATAACTTCTGGTAGTCAATTTTTGGAGCCTGATGGTAATAACATCTTCTGGAGGAGTGATTTCAGCTGGTTATGGTACATAAACTCATAGTAACAGATGGATTTTGTCTTCGTTCAGGCTTGTTTCCAAATCACATCCCAAATCCTGAGGATAAGACAGCAATGAAAGCTATAACCCAAGCAGTCCTCGACAACAAAGCTGATCTTGGAATTATCTTTGATACTGATGTGGACAGGTAAGATTCTTATTACTAAGAGATTGCACAGAAACGCTACCGTTTTCAAATTTATTGAGCATCAACCACTTTCATATGTAGATCTGCTGCTGTGGATTTCACTGGTCGTGAATTTAATCGGAATCGTTTGATTGCCTTAATGGCAGCTATTGTTCTTGAGGAAGTAAGGTTTTTAACTTTAGCTTATTTCAGACCTGGTTTCTTAACCTCAAATTTCCCTGTATCAATTATTTCTCATCAGTCTTTTCCTTCTCTCATTTTCTGTAGCATCCTGGAACAACTATTGTCACAGACAGTGTGACTTCCGATGGGCTTACTACCTTTATCGAGAAGAAACTCGGTAGGAATCTAAACTGCCATGGCCTTTTAGTTGGCCTTTCTCACCTTCTTTTAAGATTTCATCATGAACTAGAGTATTTTTCATTGAATTCGAATAGAAAATTACTTGAAAACAGATTAGAGTTAATAACTTGCTGGTACTGTTTTTCTTAGGTGGCAAACACCATCGGTTCAAGAGAGGCTACAAAAATGTGATTGATGAAGCTATTCGTTTGGTATGATGAGAGCTTGCCCATAATTCAATAAATTATGGATCAAATTAGTTATGCCTGGTGGCCTGTGCTTGTCTGTGCCAGTATTTCAAATTGAAGCTTGTACATTTTAGCTAAATTTATAAAAATGAGTCCTAGTAGTAACACCTGGCTAAAATGCAAAACGAAAGCAATTTAAGAAATAATTCGTGTTTAGATACCTAGCTTCCATTGTGCATTTTTCATCTTGTTTCTTTTAATATATATATTTTTAAAAAAATTTCAATTTCATATTTTCATGTGTTAAATATTTGACTTGTGGTACTAATATTGCCGACAGAATTCTATAGGAGAGGAGTCACATTTGGCAATTGAAACCAGTGGACATGGGGCTCTCAAGGAGAATCACTGGCTGGATGATGGTGCATACCTAATGGTATATTATGTAGTCACATTAAGTAAACGAAATAATCACCCTATTACTTGCTCTTCATTAATCAATTATTGATATTATACGTACCCAGGAGTTGAACCTTTCAACTATATGATGAAGATATTAGTAGAGGACCATAGGCAAAGAATATGTACACTTCTTACTTGAACTAAATTTCCCATGACTTGACACTACGCTGCATTAGATTGTGAATATAACTGTGTTGTAGAATCAAGAAATAGATCAGATTAGGTGAGAAGAGGTTCCAGTGATATGTTATCATACTGCTGTACCGAGCTAAGCAGGATCCAAGATTAGTTTTAATATTCAAATTATGACAAAGGCGATATATGACATTTATTCTGCAGGTTAAGATCTTAAATAAACTTGCTTCTGCAAGAGCTTCTGGAAATGGTGGTGGAAGCAAGGTTTTGACTGATTTAATAGAAGGGCTTGAGGAACCTGCTTTTGCTACAGAACTGAGATTAAAGATAAACCAATTCCATCCAGATCTTAAAGAGGGGTAAGCTAGTGTATAAAGGTTCTCTGTTTGTGTGCATCCATCCATTATTGTCATTAATTCACTGACATGTCTGAGCTTTTAGATCTTTTCGGGAATACGGAGAAGCTGTGCTGAAACAATTGGAGAATTCAATTGGCTCTGATCCAAGTTTGCACAAGGCTCCCGTGAACTACGAAGGGGTATGTTTGTCCCTGCTTATTGCTAAATTGTAAGCCTGTTTAGTTAGTATTGACGATGAAATTGTCAGTGACAAATTATGGAGACAATTAGGACTAACATGTTCCAAAATTGGAATTTGCATACAATTCTACATTGATTGGTTTTCTGACTTTCTGCTCCCAAAATAATTTATTGCTTGTCTGATCTAATCCTCAACCAGGTCCGAGTTTCTGGCTATGGGGGATGGTTCCTTCTGCGATTATCACTCCATGATCCTGTACTTCCCCTTAACATTGAGGTAAAGGCCCGCACAACACGTATTGTGGAGTTTATATGCAACCTTTAAGTAATGCAACTAAATCAGAATTAACATAATTCACTGTAGGCACCTAGTAATGACGATGCTGTGAAGCTCGGACTTGCTGTGCTTGAAGCTGTAAAGGGATTTGGAGGTTTAGATACATCGGCCTTGAAGAAATTTGTTGGAGCATCATAATTCAATGCTTCGTACAAGAATTGAGTTGGGTGATAGAAATGCTTTCGCTTCTATGTTTTCAGTTATACAAAGAGGTTCCCTATACTTGCATCAGCGGCAACAGAGGGTGAATTAAATTATTGTCATGAGAATGGTGTGTTGTCTTGTGAATTAGAAATATCAGAGATATCTATAAAAAAGAAATTTTAATGACATCAAGATCTACGGTATAATTTTTTTGTGCTTCGCATTTAACATTATTGACATTTTTTTGATATACTTTTGGACCAGTAACCAGACAGGTGCCGCCTTTCCATTTTTCTGAAGGAATCATCCATTGACATCAACTTCTCGTGACAAGAAAAAACGAAAAGAAAGTGAAAAATGAGAAAACATAAAAAATTAAAAAGAAAAATGGACGGACAGTCCCTCTGACTATTAAAGTTTAATCCATAATCGGTAAAACAACTCTTAAGACCTTGGCAACGTGTCTTTTATGTAAAATTTGATAGAAGGAGCTAATTATTTGCCATAAGTGTGGGCTTGGACAATTTTAACTCCAATTCTGCATTTAGATACAAAAGAATGCCAAGTGATATACAAATGTCTGCTATTGGAGCAATCTAAAAGGTTCTCAAGTGATTTTTTCTCTAATTCTTTGGTTTTTTTTCATGTACACATTTCAATAGCAGACTGCTTTTTCCGTGTGCATTTTTTTTCTTAAAAACATTATGTTTTTCAGAACATAAATATTGCCCACTAAGCAATGTCTAATTTGATTTAGAAGCAGCTTAGTTGTTGAGAAGCTTCATCATGAAGTTGAACTTTATATCTGGTGAGGTCTTTGGCTGTGGCCAGTTAGCTCCTTCTGGAACCTTGATACACCTGAAACCTTGGCCTTGATATAACTTTGTGGCAGCAGGATTTTTGAAATCACAGTGTAATGCAATTGCACGACAGCCCCAGCTTCTGGCTTGTGATTCTGCCTTTGCTACCAAGAGTTTAGCTATTCCCTTTCGCCTAAATTTTTCCCGGACTGCCACATTTGATATGTATGCAATTCCAGTCCTAGCATTATTTTAAAACAACAGAAATTACAACATCAGCAGAAATTCAGCGGCAAAGTGATGTGTCAGTCAAGAATATCATGATCCCAGCAGCATGCACATAATTAGAAAAATCAGAAGCTAACCATTTTGAAGGGTTCAAGTTTTCAAATAGAAAAAGATAGAAACGCTAGTAACACATTTTCTAATATGTTTTTTAACAGTCTTTTAAGTAAAAATTAAGAACAATATTCATATAAGCCACAAGACGGAGAAGCATGAACAATGAAAGACACTCTCACAAGTCAAAGGTTGACAACATTATATCGACCACATACATGATGCAAATAAAAAAATACAGAAAACTACGTTGGAGAATCAAGCTTCCTGAACTCACCTTTTCTGTCGCAAAGGCCCCTTCCTAGGTAGAAAGTCAGCAACAGTATCTACTGTTAATATACCAGCCACATACCCCTTGTTGAGGCTGAATTTCCCATCAAAACCACCGACCTTGAAATCATCACTTCCAAACAAGAAAGTTTCACCAAGTGAGTTGCCAATAACAGCAACCAAACAGGTTCTCTTGCAACCGTTTGGTAATGTAAATCCTGCCAACATGGCCACCAATCTGTCCATCCTCAGCACAAAATCTAGTGGGAAGGAATATTCGGGGAAGAAGGAGCTGCAGTGAGTCTCTGCCACTTCCCAACAGTCCTCCAACCTGGCCTCACGCACAATGATTTCAGGAGACACAGTTGGGAACAAATCAGCTACTTGACTTGCTCTACATGTTCCTACATCCAAACGTCACACCTTCAGTTCCTAATTCCTCTCCAACTTTAGCATTACAGAATATAAAGTATCAAGGATCTAACTCCTCTAAAACTACTATATATATANCAAGTAGAATAGATTTACTTGAAAGCTGAGACACTGAATACCAACAGCTTTGGTTTTCATGAGTATCCATTTTATTTTGTACGGTATTCACTTATTATTTTGCATTTATTGTTTGTTAATGTCCATGAATTGTGAATGCTGTGTTTTTTTTATGTTCCAATTTGACTTTGATAATTCATAAATTTATTTTTCGTAGATAAATGAAATTGGATGCTGGTTTGTCTACTAACTATGAAATGTCCCGTATGTGAACAGCAAGTCATCTGCCTTTCAACAGAAATGGATTCAAATTTTTCACTAATGCTGGTGGGCTTGGGAAGGTTGACATCAAAGATATCTTAGAGAGGGCTGCAGACATATACAATCAATTTACCCCAGAAAGTTTGAAGAATTCAGAGCAAAAAGCTTTATTAACTTTTAAGAAAGTGGATTACATGATTGCTTATACATCTGATCTGGTAAAAGCGGTTCGCAAGGCTGCTGGAAACATAGGCATGACTTCACTTAAGTATTTATACAATAGTCAATATGTTTGGGGATAAAATTAATGCATTGTTCCCTAAATGAAGAGGAAGAATAATGCAACTCTAATTAGAGACCTGTTTTTATTATTCAAGTTTTTTCTGTAAAATTTATAGTTTTTCCTTTTGTTTTTGATTTCCTGATCTTGTTTGCTAAAGTTTATTGCACTGTTTATACACAGAGAAACCATTGGATGGTTTTCATATAGTTGTTGATGCTGGCAATGGAGCAGGAGGTTTTTTTGCAGTAAGTTCTATTTAATCTCCTTAATTTTTTTGTCTGTTAATAACTTTCTAGTATTATGAATTTCACTTAAAATATCTATATAAATTATTGTGAACATTGTACTCTTCTAAAGTGAGAAATGTTCTCTAAAGGGTAAACTAAAGGGCAAATCTATAACCGCTGATTAAAAAAAAATCAATTGTTAAGATTATGGTAAAATACATTCACATGTGTAACAAACTGTGATTTTCTATCCAATGGGTATATCCACAATTACACTTGAAAAACTTCTATCAAGCTTTTTCTTTTTTGACAAACTTCTTTGCTTAATAAGTACATATAATCGTGTCTTAATAAGTCTTCTATGAGCTGTTCTTTTTTATATGATTTACCATGGGCCAATATGCATGAATAATATAATTTAGTTTTCTTTTGGTTTCTGGCTCATCTCATGTGAAATCATAAAAATTATTTTTCCCTAATTACAAAAATTATTGCATTAACTATGTACGGGTATAAAGATGGGTAATACCCAAATTTTTAAAGTGGGTACGAGAACAAAGATGAGTATGTACACGTATTGTTTTAAATTATTAAAATATCTATAATTTATTATGTAATCTGAAAAACTTATATTAACTTTTCTTTTGTCCTTAATTTTGTAACTTATTTCTAAGATAAATATTTGATCATTTTTATTATTTTCTATACTTATTTGACCTCATCTAATTGTTATTGGTAGATACTCTTATTTGATATTTATATAATTATATTTCTTTCTTGATATTTGATATTAGATAAAAAAATATGTATCCTTTTAACATTAAATACTTGAAGATGAGACAAAAACTTCATACTTATTGGATATGGACATGAGATAGTTAAACCCACATTTGTCCCATTCTGTTACCATCCCTAGTTACAAACATATGCACACTGTCTGAAACTGCTTTAGAAGTATAGCAGGTAATTTACAGTGAAAATAGATCTATTTTTACAACTTTGATATTTTTACTGAGTTCTGGAAGACTGAAACTGACGTACATGGTATTTTTATAGGATCTTTAAAATAAAATCAGCTGAGAAAATTGTTGATGATGACCTTTTTATAATTTTATATTATGCATTTGGTAAGATAATAATTTTTCTAGATAGAATCTTAGTAGTTTTTCTGAAATTTCTAATTTCTTTACACCGGGGAAGACTAGTTCATAAATTAATTAATGGATTAGATTATTGTGTATAATTTGAAATCATTCAAAATATCAGAATGTTTTTATCTGGTTAAGGTTTTTGGCTCTTGCATCAAACTTGATATTTGATATTACTTTTCGGTGAATAGGAAAAGGTTTTGAAACCTCTGGGGGCAATAACTTCTGGTAGTCAATTTTTGGAGCCTGATGGTAATAACATCTTCTGGAGGAGTGATTTCAGCTGGTTATGGTACATAAACTCATAGTAACAGATGGATTTTGTCTTCGTTCAGGCTTGTTTCCAAATCACATCCCAAATCCTGAGGATAAGACAGCAATGAAAGCTATAACCCAAGCAGTCCTCGACAACAAAGCTGATCTTGGAATTATCTTTGATACTGATGTGGACAGGTAAGATTCTTATTACTAAGAGATTGCACAGAAACGCTACCGTTTTCAAATTTATTGAGCATCAACCACTTTCATATGTAGATCTGCTGCTGTGGATTTCACTGGTCGTGAATTTAATCGGAATCGTTTGATTGCCTTAATGGCAGCTATTGTTCTTGAGGAAGTAAGGTTTTTAACTTTAGCTTATTACAGAACTGGTTTCTTAACCTCAAATTTCCCTGTATCAATTATTTCTCATCAGTCTTTTCCTTCTCTCATTTTCTGTAGCATCCTGGAACAACTATTGTCACAGACAGTGTGACTTCCGATGGGCTTACTACCTTTATCGAGAAGAAACTAGGTAGGAATCTAAACTGCCATGACCTTTTAGTTGGCCTTTCTCACCTTCTTTTAAGATTTCATCATGAACTAGAGTATTTTTCATTGAATTCGAATAGAAAATTACTTGAAAACAGATTAGAGTTAATAACTTGCTGGTACTGTTTTTCTTAGGTGGCAAACACCATCGGTTCAAGAGAGGCTACAAAAATGTGATTGATGAAGCTATTCGTTTGGTATGATGAGAGCTTGCCCATAATTCAATAAATTATGGATCAAATTAGTTATGCCTGGTGGCCTGTGCTTGTCTGTGCCAGTATTTCAAATTGAAGCTTGAACATTTTAGCTAAATTTATAAAAATGAGTCCTAGTAGTAACACCTGGCTAAAATGCAAAACGAAAGCAATTTAAGAAATAATTAGTGTTTAGATACCTAGCTTCCATTGTGCATTTTTCATCTTGTTTCTTTTAATATATATATTTTTAAAAAAATTTCAATTTCATATTTTCATGTGTTAAATATTTGACTTGTGGTACTAATATTGCCGACAGAATTCTATAGGAGAGGAGTCACATTTGGCAATTGAAACCAGTGGACATGGGGCTCTCAAGGAGAATCACTGGCTGGATGATGGTGCATACCTAATGGTATATTATGTAGTCACATTAAGTAAACGAAATAATCACCCTATTACTTGCTCTTCATTAATCAATTATTGATATTATACGTACCCAGGAGTTGAACCTTTCAACTATATGATGAAGATATTAGTAGAGGACCATAGGCAAAGAATATGTACACTTCTTACTTGAACTAAATTTCCCATGACTTGACACTACGCTGCATTAGATTGTGAATATAACTGTGTTGTAGAATCAAGAAATAGATCAGATTAGGTGAGAAGAGGTTCCAGTGATATGTTATCATACTGCTGTACCGAGCTAAGCAGGATCCAAGATTAGTTTTAATATTCAAATTATGACAAAGGCGATATATGACATTTATTCTGCAGGTTAAGATCTTAAATAAACTTGCTTCTGCAAGAGCTTCTGGAAATGGTGGTGGAAGCAAGGTTTTGACTGATTTAATAGAAGGGCTTGAGGAACCTGCTTTTGCTACAGAACTGAGATTAAAGATAAACCAATTCCATCCAGATCTTAAAGAGGGGTAAGCTAGTGTATAAAGGTTCTCTGTTTGTGTGCATCCATCCATTATTGTCATTAATTCACTGACATGTCTGAGCTTTTAGATCTTTTCGGGAATACGGAGAAGCTGTGCTGAAACAATTGGAGAATTCAATTGGCTCTGATCCAAGTTTGCACAAGGCTCCCGTGAACTACGAAGGGGTATGTTTGTCCCTGCTTATTGCTAAATTGTAAGCCTGTTTAGTTAGTATTGACGATGAAATTGTCAGTGACAAATTATGGAGACAATTAGGACTAACATGTTCCAAAATTGGAATTTGCATACAATTCTACATTGATTGGTTTTCTGACTTTCTGCTCCCAAAATAATTTATTGCTTGTCTGATCTAATCCTCAACCAGGTCCGAGTTTCTGGCTATGGGGGATGGTTCCTTCTGCGATTATCACTCCATGATCCTGTACTTCCCCTTAACATTGAGGTAAAGGCCCGCACAACACGTATTGTGGAGTTTATATGCAACCTTTAAGTAATGCAACTAAATCAGAATTAACATAATTCACTGTAGGCACCTAGTAATGACGATGCTGTGAAGCTCGGACTTGCTGTGCTTGAAGCTGTAAAGGGATTTGGAGGTTTAGATACATCGGCCTTGAAGAAATTTGTTGGAGCATCATAATTCAATGCTTCGTACAAGAATTGAGTTGGGTGATAGAAATGCTTTCGCTTCTATGTTTTCAGTTATACAAAGAGGTTCCCTATACTTGCATCAGCGGCAACAGAGGGTGAATTAAATTATTGTCATGAGAATGGTGTGTTGTCTTGTGAATTAGAAATATCAGAGATATCTATAAAAAAGAAATTTTAATGACATCAAGATCTACGGTATAATTATTTTGTGCTTCGCATTTAACATTATTGACATTTTTTTGATATACTTTTGGACCAGTAACCAGACAGGTGCCGCCTTTCCATTTTTCTGAAGGAATCATCCATTGACATCAACTTCTCGTGACAAGAAAAAACGAAAAGAAAGTGAAAAATGAGAAAACATAAAAAATTAAAAAGAAAAATGGACGGACAGTCCCTCTGACTATTAAAGTTTAATCCATAATCGGTAAAACAACTCTTAAGACCTTGGCAACGTGTCTTTTATGTAAAATTTGATAGAAGGAGCTAATTATTTGCCATAAGTGTGGGCTTGGACAATTTTAACTCCAATTCTGCATTTAGATACAAAAGAATGCCAAGTGATATACAAATGTCTGCTATTGGAGCAATCTAAAAGGTTCTCAAGTGATTTTTTCTCTAATTCTTTGGTTTTTTTTCATGTACACATTTCAATAGCAGACTGCTTTTTCCGTGTGCATTTTTTTTCTTAAAAACATTATGTTTTTCAGAACATAAATATTGCCCACTAAGCAATGTCTAATTTGATTTAGAAGCAGCTTAGTTGTTGAGAAGCTTCATCATGAAGTTGAACTTTATATCTGGTGAGGTCTTTGGCTGTGGCCAGTTAGCTCCTTCTGGAACCTTGATACACCTGAAACCTTGGCCTTGATATAACTTTGTGGCAGCAGGATTTTTGAAATCACAGTGTAATGCAATTGCACGACAGCCCCAGCTTCTGGCTTGTGATTCTGCCTTTGCTACCAAGAGTTTAGCTATTCCCTTTCGCCTAAATTTTTCCCGGACTGCCACATTTGATATGTATGCAATTCCAGTCCTAGCATTATTTTAAAACAACAGAAATTACAACATCAGCAGAAATTCAGCGGCAAAGTGATGTGTCAGTCAAGAATATCATGATCCCAGCAGCATGCACATAATTAGAAAAATCAGAAGCTAACCATTTTGAAGGGTTCAAGTTTTCAAATAGAAAAAGATAGAAACGCTAGTAACACATTTTCTAATATGTTTTTTAACAGTCTTTTAAGTAAAAATTAAGAACAATATTCATATAAGCCACAAGACGGAGAAGCATGAACAATGAAAGACACTCTCACAAGTCAAAGGTTGACAACATTATATCGACCACATACATGATGCAAATAAAAAAATACAGAAAACTACGTTGGAGAATCAAGCTTCCTGAACTCACCTTTTCTGTCGCAAAGGCCCCTTCCTAGGTAGAAAGTCAGCAACAGTATCTACTGTTAATATACCAGCCACATACCCCTTGTTGAGGCTGAATTTCCCATCAAAACCACCAACCTTGAAATCATCACTTCCAAACAAGAAAGTTTCACAAAGTGAGTTGCCAATAACAGCAACCAAACAGGTTCTCTTGCAACCGTTTGGTAATGTAAATCCTGCCAACATGGCCACCAATCTGTCCATCCTCAGCACAAAATCTAGTGGGAAGGAATATTCGGGGAAGAAGGAGCTGCAGTGAGTCTCTGCCACTTCCCAACAGTCCTCCAACCTGGCCTCACGCACAATGATTTCAGGAGACACAGTTGGGAACAAATCAGCTACTTGACTTGCTCTACATGTTCCTACATCCAAACGTCACACCTTCAGTTCCTAATTCCTCTCCAACTTTAGCATTACAGAATATAAAGTATCAAGGATCTAACTCCTCTAAAACTACTATATATATATATATATATATATATATATATAAAAATGAGTGTATATATATATATATATATACCCTTGATTTGAAGAGCATTAAATCTGTGAGACACATTCAAATCAAGAGTGAATATGTAGAAAAATAAACGTGACACACATGTTATTGCACTGTAAATTTTTGTGTTACTTTGATAGAGAAAAACTATTAAATAGCTCAAAGGCCTTGGGCCTGTTACATTAGTGCACAACAACTGAAATAAATAATACTGAAAAACAAACTAGCGGAAAGCTCTACAAAATAAAACCAGCCACTAATTATTGGGCTGTTACAGTGAATAAAGAAACTGACGAATAAAAACTGAAGCAACCAATGCGGTACAACGCAACTCTGGAAAAATAAAACATCACTCTAAATTATAAAACTACCGTTCATAATTTAAGTTTAATAATTAAAGTTTATTTAACATAATACACCCTTTAGACATCAGGTATGGTCATCCGATCTTCATTCTGCATCCCATATGTGATTTCCGGATATCTGGTATTATCATCCGAGCTCCGGTTAACCATTTCCGTGTTCTCTTATAGCCAAATAAACCTAGATCAAGAAAGCTTCTCTAGAATCATGGACCTGCAATGCTCAGTTCTCAGTGCAGCTGGGGTCAGCTGAACAGGAAGTGACACACCTTTGGTCTTCATTGCTTCCTTCACTTTCTCCAACATAATACCAGCTTCATATTCTGATATAATAGGCTTGTTAAGCCAGTCTAGGACTGAGGACATGGAAGATGAGGCTTTATATGAGCTAGCAACACCACGTCCTAAAGGTGGCAGGAGGCCCAAGTTCCTATTGATTCTGTCCATAAATGCTTGTGCAGATTCCCGACTCAGTGCTGACCGTGGCTTTGGTCCCTTTGCAGCATCCAATATGGTCTTGTTCATTACATCCTTTGCCTGCATATCACTGCAATTCTTCTTAGCCATATGTTCGGCTAAAGTTTTATCCAGCTTTGCTATTCTTTGCTTAATGTCTGTGTTCTCATTCGTTAATGCTGATATAAGTCCCCTAAGTACTTCTATCTCACGGCTCATAATGTTTAGGCCCTTCTGCACAGCTTCATTTGACGGTGGAGATACCAGGACATACTCTCTGTCCTGCTCCATAGCTTCTTCTGCTTGGGTCGCCTCATGTTGGTCAATATTGTCCACGGGGGATTCTCGTTAGTTAGTAGCAATGTGACCAGGTTTACCATATTTGCAGCACTTCTTCGATCTGCATTCGTTTGCAGCACTACTTCCACCTCGTCCTCGGCCTACTCGTCCTCTACCTCCAAGACTTCGACTCTGAGTATTTCGAGCTCCATTTGAGTCAAACTGTGCATGTAGTGCTTGATCATCGAGTTCCTTCCTCTTCTTTTTCTTGCTCAGTTCGTGGGCCTTTAATAACCCAACTAACTCATCTAGCATGAGAGTTGATAGATCATGTGTGTCTTTAATAGCGACCATGATACTTTCATAATCATTGGTAAGATTTTTTAAGATCTTTTCCGAAACCCGGTTAGGAGGCATCTCTTCTCCATTCATCCTGCTCGAGCTATAAACTCAACAACTCTTTCCTTTTCATCCATCTCCATATGTTCAAACTCTCTTATCAGAGCTTGTACTCGGACCTGCTTCACGTGAGCCTCCAAAATTTTCCAGGCTTCTTTTGCTCAAACCCCGATTCATCCAGTGCATTGAATAGAAAGTACAAAGCCGATCTGTCTTTCACTCGTGTCTTTTTCAATACATCAATCTGGGTTATTGTCCACAGGTTCATTGTATCTGTCCTCCACTGTATCCCATAAATCTTGAGATCCAAGAAGAACCTTTATCTGCAGACACCAATTATCGTAATTGATTTTTTCCGACAATTGTGGCACACTCATTCCATTGACTACCTTTGCCATTTCTCTCACAAAACACTAACGATTTCCCTCACGAAGTTTGACTCTCCCTTCTCTTTTTTTTTTTCCTCTAGCTACTCAGAGGATAAAACTCTGATATCACTTTGTAGAAAAATAAACGTGATACACACTAAAGATATTCATTCAAGTGTAAATTTTTGTGTTACTTTCATTGATATAGAAAAACTATTAAATAGCCATCAAAGGCCTTGGGCCTTTTACATTGGTGCATATCAACTGAAATAAATAATAACTGAAAGCTCCACAAAATAAAACCAGCCACTAACTATTGGGCTGTTACAGTGAATAAAAAAACTGACGAATAAAAACTGAGTAACCAATGCGGTACAATAAATCCGCAACTCTGGAAAAATAAAACATCACTCTAAATTATAAAACTACCTTTCATAACTTAAGTTTATTAATTTAAGTTTATTTAACAGAATACACCCTTTAGACAAAATGGATCCAATGAATATGAAAAATTTCACCCCTCTTTGACTACCACACCAAAACAGTAATAGTTCTGTATAAGGTGAAATAAAAATCCATAGTACTGAAAAGGCTAACCCAGAAAAGAGTTTATCCATGTTTATATACGATGTTCCTCATTGATGATCAAGGTATAACTTAGGAGTAAGGATTACGAGAACTTAATGAAGGGTAATTCCAAATAACTTTGAAGAATGGCATTACCTCTTTCTTGTGCTTTAAATTACATTAAATATTGTTTTAAAAAGCATTTTTTACAATCATGTTTTCCTAGATTACTCACAGAAAATCATTTAGCTTAATCCTCCTCCGATCACTTGTCTTCATTTTCCCCACAAATTTCTATATCCGGCCTTCCTAAGACAAGTTGACTAAATTGTCAGACATCATCAGCTTTTCAAGAATTGGATAAAATTAAAAAAACCCATTAATCCACTTCATATAATAAAAATTAGGGTTTGACACAGACGTGCTAATACATCAAATTCAACAACCTATCTACTGAATTCCTTAAAAAAAAATCAAGCATCCATAATCCAGCAGTGAAACAGAGAATTTACAAAGAGCGAGAAACTAGGCACCTGATTGTGAGAGAGAGAATTCGTGAGGAGAAGTTGAACCCCAATATGGAAAAGTGGGTGATTTCTTGAAATTAATGTTGAAAGGTGATATTTTTGAGGTGTTTATAGGAGTAGGAGATAGTGAAGTTCCCAGAGGAAATGACCGCATTTCTTGGAGGGGTGTCTTGCTCACTCAAAGAATCCAAAGATTCTCTGTGAGATTGAATCATCACATAACATGAGAGGGTGAGTGAACTGAGAACAACTTGGTATAACAAAGCTGTGCTTACATGACTTTCAAAACTTGTGGGGGCCACCTGATTCTGACAACCAAACTCACACAGATTAGAGTTAAATGTTTGTCTTCAATTTCCATCCATGTCTTTCAGATTTTTTTTTCTTGCATCTGATAGATACAAAGGTTTAGTTTTTAGATAAACTTCACTTTTTATTCTGTAATCCTTTTTGTTCAAAATTATCTTTGATTAAGTGATTTGGAAAAAAATGTTGCTTTAAATAAATAAAAAAAGTAAAAAACCAACAAAAACACGAGATGGAGTGGTTGGTTTTGTCGCCAAACATGTGTTCCTGGGTGACTGCGTTTTTGTTTTGTTTTTTTTACAAAGGTAATTGAAATTGGAACAAGACATGTTGCGTGGAAGAAGAAACACCTCTCGTTTCTTACTTCAGTGGTGGTGGCTGAAAAAGAAGTGCATGTGCTTTATTATCAGTGCAAGAATTTCAAATATTCTAGTATTCTAAAGTTGTGTGCTAACTAAACCAATATACAAGTTTAACAAATCATCCATAGCTCTAAGTTAAGTGAAGATTATTTAATTCTATATGAGCGAAAATTTGGACTTCATTATTAGAAACTTTGGCAGATTAAGCCCCAAGAGAAACCGTGCATATTTAATTTGATTGAAGATGTATTTTATGCTGTAATTTTTTTATTGTAATTCAGAATGTGTTCATAATACACTTTTTTTATATATAAAAGATAACAATTCACTCTTTAATACACTTTTTTAATTAATTAAAATTTATCATATGAAAAGTGAAACTCACAAATTTTTATAATTTCTAATAAATTTCAATTTATAACAGAAGGTATATTTAAAAGATTATATTTTGAAAATATTTGTTCACTTTTCTCCTTACTGTGTTAAAATTATTTGTTTACAGGAGGAATAACAGCATCCTTTCCTAACCTCCAGGGCTTAGCTTTTTTAATCAAAAGTTAAAAACTAATTAATCGATGAAGGGAAGGATTAGATATAATTGTGATAAAAACCCGGGTTAGTTATTTTCATTTACATATGTTAGTCTTCAAACTCCAAACATTTTGGGTACCATGCTAAGGAGCACAGACTAGGCTTCACTCACTGGTTCCATAACCAAAATATCAGCTTTTTCTCTGTATCATTTTAAGTTTCAACATAAAATGAATTACTTCTTGACTAATAGATCTTGTGCATCGTGTCCAAATTTATACCATTACTCTCAAAACATAATCATATAATTATTTGAATTTGAAAGGAATAACGTCCAGCTTTTGTTCATTTGGTTGGATAGAAAAAGTACAAAGAAAAATTAAACAAATTTGGATAAAATGTTATTTTCTTTAAATTCTGATTAGTTTATTTTGCACGTGTGTATATATATATATATATATATATATATATATATATATATATATATATATATATAT